AGTCCCAAATGTCTCCAGCTGTGCCGCCAGCAGGCAGGGAGCTGGAGCAGAAAGTGGCACGGGGATGCTGCACGTGTGGGTGCTGGACACAGACCCCTGCCCACACCACCCTGCTGCCCGTGCCCCCACACCCCACACCCCACCTCCTACCTTCAGCAGCCACTGGGTGCTGTTCTCCAGGATCCTCTCGAGGTGCTGCAGGCGCTGGGCAGCCCCGTGCCCGGCATGTGCGGTGCCTGCCGGCGAGTCCCGCTGCAGCAGAGCGTTGGCCGGGCCAGGGGCAGGACCAGGGGAGGCCGGGCAGGGCAGCGGGTCAGCCTCGGGCAGCACGAAGGTGTAGCTGCAGTGCCCGTGCTGCACTCGGTGGTAGCGCCGGCGCCCGCCCCCGTCCAGCGCCCGGCGCTGGGCTCTGGTGGCACACAGAGCTGTCGTGGCACAGGCCAGGGCCACGAGGCCAAGGCGGAGCGCCCACATGGCACAGAGGTCCCCACGGTGCCGGGGTGCCACGGCAGGGAAGGCGCCGGCAGTTTGCTCTGTGCCGGGGTGGGTCAGTGGGCGCTCGCCGCCGCCGCGTCGAGCCGCGGAGATTTCGGCATTTCCTCCCTCTGAGCCGGCGCTGGCCGCCGCGGCCTTTTATCGCCAGCCCTCGCAGGGGGAGAGGGGAGGAAAAAAAAAAAAAAAGAAAAACAAAGGGAAAAATCTGTTTAAAAACAATACTTCTATCTTTTTTCTCTCCTCTGAGTCCACTGTGGGGAGATCAAGTTTCACACGTGATCTATAAATGTCTCTCGCGCACAAACACACACACACACGCACACGCAGCCACCGTTCCTCCCCCAGCCGTTCTCTGCACAGCTCATTGCACCTCCCGGGGTGGGCAGCGCCGTGGCAGCACCGAGCCCTCCCACCCTCTGGCCCTGCACCCGGTGAAACCCCCAATCAGCACCCGCTGGGACCTGCCACCCCCCGCCCCCCCTATCCCGGGGAGCACAGCTCCCCCCCCATGTCCCGGCTATTTATAATGCCAGCAGGAGCCAGGCCTGGATTTGGCTGCTCCAGCCGTGGGATCAGCCCGTGGGGACCAGGATGGGGGGCTGTGTCCCAGGCAGAGCTTGGCAGGACACAACCAGACTGTGTGTGGGGTTTGGGGTGCCTACCTCGCAGTCTGGGGGTCCACCGGGTGCTGATGGGCTCCCACCAGAACTGGGGATCACCACGTCTGCCAGCCCACGTGCTGGGATAGATCTAGAATGTGTCCCCCAGGAGGGGGCAATCCCAGCGTTGGGGACCGGCTTCCAGGGGGATACCCGAGTATCACAGGAGAGGGGAATTCTGTCCACCAGCAGAAAAGCCCCTTGGTGCTTCCCAATCCCTGTGGAATGACAGTCCCAGCGTCGCTTTTGCCTCTTGCTCCAGTGCTGGCTCGGGCACCGAGGGTTGCTGATGGTGCTTTAAATAAAAACTTAAAATAAAATCTTTCCCCAGACTCCCACTGTGCTGAGGGGCTGGAGCAGAGTGCTGGGGGCCAGGACAAGGTGCCCCTCCATGGGGAGCCATGCCTGGCATGGGGGGGGACCACCGTGGCCACGGCCAGCATCCCGGTCCCCCTCCGGCAGCAACTCGTGGGAATAAGGAAAACGGAGGCAGGAAGGGTTCCGGGGGGTTAATCCATTTATTTGCCCCGAAGAGATCCGAGGAGCTGCTCCGGCAGCATCGCGCCGGCTCCGGGACTGGCTCGCTGCTGACACCCAGCGCTCCCGTCCTGAAGGGTCTGTGCAGCCCCCGCAGCCCCGACACACCGCGGCCACCCCCCGCCCCCGCTCAGGGCAGGGATGGGGGGCTCGGACCCCGGCAAACCCCCAAATGCAGAGCTGCCTGCCGCTGGGGCAGCGATTTGAGCACGCACATAGTAAAGAAACCGATACAGTCCTCCGGACACGCACAGTCTGGCTGCCGGCTTGGAGAGTCAGAACGGCACGGCGGGGCTCAGCACCTCCCTGTCCTGCCCCCGGGGATGGCTGGGAGGGGCTGCAGCTGCACAGGAGGCAGCGGGATCCCCTGACTGGGCTGGCACTTACAGTGTGTGTGTCCCTGTCCTGGACCAAAGATGGCCACAGTCACCCCACATTCCTGTGCCCACATCCAGCTGGGGAGGGAAGCTGCTCCAGGCTCTCTGTCAGTCAGGGGATGGCAGAATTTGACCCGTGGGGATGATGAGTGATGGGCTGGCATGGTCCCCATAAGTGTTCCAAGTCTGGGGGTCCAGCTGCCCTCTGAGCCCCAGGACCCCAGGATTTGGCCCATGATTGTGCTAGTGGGGATGCCAAGCACCAGGTTGGGCTGCTGTGAGCAGTGTCATGGTCCTCAGTGGGGTCCCGACCTTGGAGTCTCAACCCTGGGAGTCCCATGGCTCCCTGTGCCAGTAGCTGAGGATGGGGGACCCTATCCAGCACCTGGAGCAGGTCAGTGGTGTGCTGTGCCCCCAGCACTCCTGTAAAATAGGGACCCTGTGGGGACAGGGTATCTCCCAGCCCTGGGGGACAGTGTCCAGGCAGGTATCATCTTCATTAGCAGGGTCCAGCCCTTGGTCCAGCCCCATCCCACCCATCTGGAGGAAAGGAAGGAGCAGGCTAGGGGAGAAGGAAAACCAGAGGAATAAAGGAGCCCCCCCCTCCCCAAGCCCCAGGGCTTTGCTTTGGACACTACAAACTAGATTCTCTGAAAAGGAAGTGTTTTACAGGCCATAAATTTTCTCAAAAGAAAAAGGGGGAGGGGGGAAGGGGGGGGCAGA